AACTTACTTTCAATTTACTTTGTTTAAAACCTCAATATGAAAATAAACAACTATGAATCTACCTCATGGGGGTTTTTTCCCCTCTCCCCTTATTTTTGGATTGTGGAAAAAATTTGAACCAGAGAACTCAGCCAGATTCTGCCTCAAATACAGAAGCACCTGTACTTCAAGAAAAATGTTCAGACTTCATTACTCACTCTAACATTATTACATCATCTAAAAAAATTGCCTCTAAGCATGCTATTTATGCTCCTTCTTATTCTTAATATTGCTGATCTGCAGTATACACCCAACATAAATCCAAAATAGAAAGGGGATCTCTTGAAGAGAACTGCTGCAGAGCTATTTATCACACAAAGAACTGTTTTTGAAAATCATTTCTCTTTGGCCTCAGATTACATTAGCATACATTTCAGAAGCAATTCACTCTGTGGTAAAAACCCACAACTGAAAACATTTTGCTTTCTTTTATCTCATAATATAAAAGTTCTTGCACGGTAGCACTGTTTATGTTGTCCAGACCGTCTTGGGAATACTTGACTACAAGACTTTCAACAAAAAGTATCATCTTACCAACCATCTCTAAGCACTTGTCTTATGTTTCAGCTTCTTAAATCCAGTACCACCTGCTGAAGAAACACGTTCTGCCAACACACAACAATTGCACATATTTCTGTCTGTGCATCTGCATTTTGTGTAGAAATATCCAGCAAGATGTAAAACGTGCTATTTTGTAATGAGTTTGGCAATAAAAAAAAAAAACAAACACATTTGCTTAAAATTTCATTATTTTCAATGGTGTTTTCATGGACATCCAGAAATACCCTTCCTGAGACAGAACATTAACCCATTTGGAGCGGTTATAACAGCCAGTGCAGGTCATATCAGATGTCCATGGTAAGTCAAATATCCCATCTCTGACAGCCATCAATAGAAAACACTCAGGGAAGACTAAAAGAACACTATAAGCATATAGTCCTACTCTGCCAATAAATACTCTCTTGACCTCCAGTAGTTTGCAATACAGATCCCTCCACAACCAGGTAACTTCAGGAATAATTTTGCCATTCAATAATCCCAAACAACTGCTTTGATTTATTTCAATCTGCAAACCGCAGTTCTGTTTGATGACCACTGCCACCTCTATTACAGAAATGAAGTGAACAATCACCTTATCACCATGCCACTCATGATTCTACAGACAACTGTGGTACCTCCATCAGTCTGAAGGGACCTAAATTCTCTACTGCATCCTCTTATGTAAGGTATTCTATACCTTTAACCATTCTAGTCAGTCTGTCCTCTTTCCAATTTTGCTTTCTCTCCCCTGAAACAGGGGGAAAAGGCCACAGGAGGAAAACATCCAAACTGCATTGTTCAAGGAGCAGAACACAAGGTGTAATAAAGATATATAAAGAAAACCAAGAGAAAAAGCTGCATCTTTATAATTATCTGACATTTCTCAAATGGCTTGATTAAAAAAAATACTAAAAATCAGTATAGCTAAGAAATTCCTGAGTATTTGGTTTCTTCTATCCAGTAATTCATTGCAATACAAATGTGACTGTTAGTTTAATAAAAAATGCCTCCAAGATGTCTTATTTTCATTAATGTTTGGGGCATTTTTCCTCCTATATAATATAAAAGAAAGAGCCTTTAAGGTGCTTTCCCTTATGCTATTAGACATGCTGCATTTTAATTGGAAGCTTCTGGAAGTAAATTTTGCAGTGAGGCTGCCAAGCTTAAATTAATACTTCACACCGTGATATTTTTTGTTTTACAATTTCCAAATCAGAATGAACCAGAACTTCTCTGAACTTTTGTTTGACAGGAAGGGCAAAGGTTTTAATGAGACTTTAGTCTGAAGATTACTTTTTAAATATTTTGGAAAATCTGAGGGATTTGGTAAGCACTTGAGATGAAAAACACCAGCAGCGTTTGTTTTTGTAGTCTAAGTAAAATTTAAAATGTTGAACTACCAAGAAACAGAATAGTCTCAAAAACAAAAGAAGGTCAAGCACCAGTAGCACTGAAAAAGCAAAATGGGAAGGTTAAACACACATTTAATTCTTTTATCGGGTACAGTTTACATCTGTATTCTATTTTTTACAATAAAGCCATTGATCTTTTATTAAAAGTGAATTAAGAATGCCTTCATCTCCATTTCCAACCAGCTGCTTAAAAAGAAGCTCTTGGACTACGTAAACAAAGTAACCCCAAATTATCAACAGCAACCCATTAGAGCGAAGCAGCACTGTCCGAGAAAGAGCGCGCCAGACTACAGGTTTATTAAATTCAGTCCTCTCATTGAAAGACAACCCCTCTGGAATCCCATCAGCAAAGTACTACAGCAGACCCTTGCTCCCTGATTTCATTACATAAACAGAAATAGACTTTATCCATCCCCAGGAGAGCCTTTTGGAAGTAACTCTAACTGCCGTGTTTTCACAGGCGGAGGCTGGACCGTGCCACGCTGCGCCCGCGCGATGAGCCAGCACCGGCGGGGACAAAGACCTGAACATCTGAATCCATTTGTGCTTCCAACCGGCCGCAGTCACCCACATGGGATCCATCTGTGAAAGGCCTGAAAGGCTTAAGAAAAACAAAAAAAACCCACCCACCACAAAACAATCTACACAAATTCTCCCACCTCATAGTCACTTTTAAAAAAATTTTTTCTAAACAAAAAAAAAAAAAGTCCGTAAGATTAACAGATATAGAATAAAGCAAGCAGCTTGATTTATCAATGAGAGGTGGCTGGAGACTTCAGATTTATCATCAAAAAGTATTCAGCATACAAGAAAGTCTATACCAAAGAGGAATGAAATCAGCCAATGTATACTCTGTGGGTAACTACAAATAAGTAACAAGTTGGAATTAACCGTGGGGTCCACAGTTACATGTGCAAACAGACTGCCTGAGACTCCAGTGCCAATATCAAACAAGCTGATTTTATCCAAACCACAAACTCTGAATTAATTACACTATCAGTATTTTTAGGACCCCAAAGCTGCATTCTTGAGAGCTTAACCACCTTTCTGTTTTATTAAAGAATAATGCATTGTAATCCTTCAAAGATGTTCTGAATAATAACCAAACTTCATTTTGGAGCTCGGAGCTCAAATTACTTTAGAGAAGTATATGAAGTGCTACTCCTTCCTCTTCAA